TTTCACCTTTTCACTGAATTACAAACTAGTCTAATGGGAAAACCAGTATCAAGTTTCTTATCTAGGTCATTTTGAGTGTACTTGAGGAACATTTTGCACAAGAGTTATAAATATACACTGCAGAGCATCATATAGATAATCCTGTGGTGTATGTACACCGATGATGGGTAGTTACCATTCATTCTTCAGGGAACATGGAATACAGAGATTATAATTTATATTGTTTCAGTGGCCTAGTCCATTCTTGGCAGGCTGGGGAGAACCATTTATATTAGCTTTTTTTTTTTTTTTTAATCCATGGCTCTGCCTTCCAAATAATTTGGATAACATGCACTCAGCTGCTATACACAGCTTTAAATGAAGATTGCTGTGGGCCAGGGAATATTTGTCATCCCTGTCAGCTCCCCCTTCCCAAATATTTATTGCCAATATTATTTGCTGGTGGCTTTATGCTGCCCATATTTTATTTTCAATTTAAAGTAAAGTGTGTAAAAGAAGAAGCTTGGTTTGGGAGCAAAGGGCCCTGAGTTTTAAACTTGCCTCAGAATTCTACCAGCTCTGTCTGGTAACTTACTTTACTTCTCTGAGTAACTCAGAATATATCACTATAGCTCTATTTCTATTCCACTTCCATTCTCCGGTAATGTTTTTTTCAACCTACTTTTATATGAAGGTAAAACTGAATAATAAAGCATGTGGCATGTAGTGTGCATTCAGATGATGCTAATTTTTGTGTTATTATGATTTTGATTATTACAAAGGATAAAGAAAAGCGGTGGCTCGATCACATGTATTTCATGGGCAGACTCTGGCTGAGCCTGTGCTGTGTCCTTTGGAAAGAGGAGAGCAAACTACTTCTCTCCCTTCCTCTTCCCCTCTCCCATAACCCAGAACTGTAGAATTAATCACCTGACTAACAATATAGTAAAAGAATGAAGCATGACTTTTATTAAAACCTTGGATCTCAGATTAAATATCCCCATTATTTTGCCTTTAAAATGACTGCTGTGTTCTCACTTATTTGTGGGAGCTAAAAATAAAAACAATTGAATTCATGGAGATAGAGAATAGAAGGATGGTTACCAGAGGTTTGGAAGGCCAGTGGGAGGTTTGGAGAGAGGTGGCATGGCTAGCAGGTACAAAAAAAAAAATAGAATGAGTAAAGAAGTATGCTATTTGATAGCACAACAGGGTGACTATAGTCAATAATAATTTAACTATACATTTTATAATAACTAAAAGAGTATAATTGAATTGTTTGTAACACAAAAGATAAATGCTGGAGGGGGTAGATATCCCATTTTCCATCACATGATTATTACGCGTTGCAAGCCGGTTATCCGAGCATCTCATGTATCTCGTAAGTATATACATCTCTGTGTACCCACAAAAATTTAAACTGTCTTAAAAAGATGACATTACCAGTTGAACTTCATGTCTCTGAATCTCTGCTTCATCCTACTCCTTGCTTTCCAGGAAGCCATTTCTCAGCCCAACCTTGGTGACCCTGGGTTTCCTTCCCTGCCCACCAGCCTCTGCAGTTGTTTTTGGATGTCTAAATGTCCTGAGAGAGTCGGTCTAAGTTGGAGTTGAATACAGAGCTTCTGTTTCCCAGATAGTTTTCAGGAGTGTATCTTCCACAGGTCACAGAGACAATTGGCCAGCCTTACAGCTGTGTTGGCCTCTGTGATTGCCAGCCGGGCTCAGTGGAGAGGAAGGGGTACCAACTGCCCCCCCAACCCTCGTAGCTGTGGATTGTCCAGCCCTAATTAACTTCCCTGGGACCCCAGATCTGTTGATCGTTTTCACCTGCAACACTTTTTTCCCTGGCTTATTCCCACCCTACCCCCAATGTATTTTTTTTAAGCAAGGACTTGTTTGCATCTTGTTAAAAATAAAAGAAAGTTGTGACAATAAAAATGTTTCTCTTCTCAAAGCTGTGAGAGTTCTATTCATTCTGGGATCAGTTAATTCTCATGACCTTTTAACAAGACAGCACTTTTGCACACTTAGATGAGATAATTGATTATAATGGGGAAAGAAGCACTGCTCACTTAGCTGCGTATATCTGAGTTGTCTGTAGCTCAAACAATTTTTCTGTTACCTTTGGCATTGCCAATTATATAGATTAAGTAAGAAGGTAAGCAGAATTTTGAGCCTTGCAAATAGCAGAATATTCACTGCTTTCAGGCGAGTTAACTGTTGTAGTATTATTGTTACGTACTTAGGAGGTAGGGAGAACAGTGCAAAGCACCTCACTTAGTATCTGGTACTAAAAAAGGGTGCTCAGTCGATGTCAGCCACTATTGCCATTTTCATTATCAACAGTACAAATGTAATGAATGATTATCACATATAGTTATCACACATGTGTACAGTTTGCAAAGCATTTTACCACATATTACCTCATTCGATAACAGTGTTTTGAAGCTTTCTGTACTCATTGCTCAGATGAGAAGACTGCAGCTAGGCAGTGGCAGCTGGGATTGAAGACTCATTTCTTCCCTCTGGTCCCACATATCTTCTGCACCACAGTAACCAAAGAAAAGGCAGCGTGTTCGATCTCATTGCATTCGCCTGAGTGTGGCCTCCTGGCTAAAGGAGACTTGTGTGTTTGTTTCCTGTGGTTTGTGTTCGGACTAGAAGTCAGAAGGGTGTGTTGTGCTCCAGTCCCCTCAACAGTTTTTCCGTGTGTCTTGATGACAGTCACACAGCCCCTCAAAACCACCACCAGTGACACCTGCATACACTGCGGCCAGGTAACAGCGTTTCCTCTCTATCTCGCAGGACCCTGTGTTACTGCCTAAAAAGAGACTTAAAAGCCTTTGAGGCTGTTTGATGTATAAAAGGGTGGGCATTATAATGCCCACCCAGCTAGATACAGCAGGCAAGAGGCGGCCTAGCTAAGCAGGTAGGCCTGGGCCTCAACACCAGGAAGAATGACAGTGCGTGTTTTCAGGATTGGAACAGTTTGGGATTCTAGTCTAGACTCTGCCACCTGTCAGCCATTTAACCTGTGTGTGTTAGTTAGCCTTGTTGTGCCTTAGTTTTTCTGTCTATAAAATGGGGTCATTAATACCTCCTAGGATTGTTGTTGAGAGTTAAAGGAATGCTTATAATACTCTCAGCCCAATGCCAGGCATATTGTTAAATACTCAATAAATGACAGTTTTATGACTATTATACTTTTAATTAACCTTCTGAGCCTTAATGTGCACCTCTGGTGCGGTTGCCGTGAGGATTAGTATATACAGGTTTCCCTGTTTACTGCCTGTCACACAGTAGGTCCTCAGTAAATACAATCACTATGGGCCGTCATCTCTCTGAATATCCTTCCCTGTGATCCTCTAGCCCCCGTAGTGGGTCAGGCACCCCCTCCTCTAGGCCATCTGGTCCTGCTGAAGAGACTTTGTTATTTGTCTTCCCTACTTTGCTGTGAGCTCACTGAAGCAGGGACTCTCTGATTCCATTCTGGCTCTCCAGAATCTGCCATGGAGTGGGCTTTCAGAGAATTTTCATCAAGTGGGCAAAGGGCTGAATGCTACATCTAGGGTGCCATGAGGGTCCAGGGACTTGAGTGCTTACCTCTGTGTATGGGGAACCCAGGTGGGCATCAGAAGAGGTGAGCCTGGACCACTGACAAGGCCCGAGGCTGGAATCCTAAACTGTGATTTAAGCAGATATTTGGTGATGGATCACAAACATTTTTGGAGACAACCTTCCTTGCCTTCTCAAGCGTGTATGTCTCAAGGGGCAATGTTCATTCTTTAGTGCTTTATGGTCTCTTTCTAGATTATTGTACAAGACTTTTTAGCAGTTGGTCCCTTGGAAAAATACCTTTTGAACAAAAATATATGCTCATGGCACAAAATGAAAATGTGCAAAAGATATATAATGGAAAGCAAGTTTCCCTCCTACCCTGATCCATAGTATCTCTATCCTTCATATGACACACCTACTATTAACCAATCGTTCATATTCTACCAGAAATATTTTATACATATACAGGAATTTTTAAACCCAAAGGTAGTGTAGCAAATATACTTCTGCATGTTATACTTTTCTTTCCATAAAATACATAAAGAACCTCTTTACTCTTTTTAGTGATTGCATCCAATTTTGTTGTGTGGATATTACTTATTTTTCTTGCCCCGTATCAATGGGCTGATTTCTAATATTTTGCTATAACAAATTATACGGCAGTGAATAACCTGGTATGTACATCATTTAGTGCCTGTATATCTGGAGAGAATAACCTGGTGTGTACATCATTTAGTATACATATATCTGCAGGAGGAATTTCTAGAATTGGAACCTTTATGTCCCAGGATAATGCATATGTGTATTTTAACTTTACTAGTTTTTATCAAATTGGCCTCCATAGATTTTGTACATCAAATTATCACACCAGCAAAGTATGGGAGTGCTTGCTTTCCATTCTCTGCCAATATAGTATATTTTCAACCTTATTTATCTTTGCCAAACCATATGTGAAAAATAGTATTTCAGAGTCTAACTTACATTTCTTTTACTATGAGTAATGCCAAGAGTCTTTTCATATGATTAGGAGCTATTTGTAGTCCTTATTCTGTAAACTGTTCATATCCAATGCCTATTCTACTGAGCTTTGGACTTTGCTTATTATTTGTACAAGTTACTTTTGTGTTAAGGAAATTAACTTTGTCACACAAATTACAGTTTTCCTCCCCAGATTGTTATTTATCTTTTGAAGCAAAAGATCAAGACCTCCTGAGACTCCCCCATCCTGCCTACTCCCAGTTCCACCAGAAGCCCTTGAGGGCAGGGTCTGAACCTTGACCCTCTCTGTCCCCCAGTCCCCTTTGCAGGGCCTGGCACTGCAAGAGCTCCCTTTTGGGGCTACGTGTTGAGCTGAATGGAATGCCTGTGTTTCCCCACCCTGCCCACCCCTCCCTTATGGCTTGGGAGTCCCATTTCTGCCTCCAGCAGAAAAAGATGACTTTTCTCATTGCTCACCACAGCCATGCACCTGTTTGGCCTAAACTGGCACCTGCAGCCGATGGAGGGGCAGATGTATGAGATCACGGAGGACACAGCCAGCAGTTGGCCTGTGCCAACCGACGTCTCCCTGTACCCCTCAGGGGGCACTGGCTTAGAGACCCCTGACAGGAAAGGCAAAGGAACCGCAGAAGGTAGGGTTGCTGCGTTGTCCGTGTCGTGAGTCCTCTGTGTCTGCCTCTGAGCCGAGGAACCCTCCATCACGCGCGTGCGTCATGTGCCTGGCTCACAGCTCCATGCTCTGGCGCTCCCTCCATCCTTCTGCACTCCACGCCAGCTGCTGGCCCACCTGTGTCTTCGTCACAGTTCCTTGTCACCAGGAGCTCATGGCGGGGCTTGGGCAGGGCTCATGGTGCTCAGTGGAATCCCATCCCATGTCTGGAGGGAAGAAGCATTAGGGGGCTTCACACTGCTGGGGTGGCCATCTTTGTGTGGGGTCAGACGAGCTCTTCTGGGCAAACCTCGGGAGAGATGGGCATCTGTGGGAGTGGGGTATGGGGAGGCAGGTAGATGGGGTGTTGTAATGGAAAAATTCTTGGACTCTTGCGGTTTAATAGAAACACCAGTTCAAGTGGTCTGGCATTTACTAACCACGTGACCTTGAGCAAGTCAATTATTTGCCTGAGCTTCAGTTTCCTCATCCACAATCATAACAATAATTATTAGTGTTTGTATAGCACATTGGTTTTAAAACTTTGTCAAATGCATTTCGCATTTAATTCCCACAGAGATCTTGTGAGACAAACATAATTATTTTATAATTTTTCTAGAGGCAAAAACTAGAATTAGTTCAAAGGATTGCACTAATTAAGTGACTTGCCCAGAGTCACATAGCCAGTAAATGGTAGAGTCTGGGATATGAGCCCAGGTCTGTGACTCCAGGGCTCTTGCTGTCTCCATAAGCTTCTCCACCTGACTTACCCCAAGGTTACAAAACCCTGAAGGAGATGTGGATGTTAAATTCTATTGTACAATGAGACATGGATATTTCCTATCAACAATGAAAATGGTGGTGGCATTGGGTTTGGTACTCTTAAATGGGATATCCAAAGGCCCATTCTGAATGTCTTAGAACTATTTCTAAAATGTCATGGACATTGTCAGCCAAGAGTGGCACAGACTCAAAATATGGCACCCAGAAAGGTGTCTGAGCTAATAAAGCAGGCTGGTTGTCATTGTGGGCAGTGTGGCCTTCCCTCCTCTTGCATCTGCTATGGCCTGCATTCTCTCTCTGTGACCCCTCAGTCAGCACGGTGGCAGTTAACTGCCTCTAACTTTCACTGCTTACATCTTTTCTCTCAGTTGACTTTTGGGTCATAGCATCTGAGCCCCTCTGCCCTTGCAAGGATTTGCCTTCCATCCGTCAGTTTGTTTAACAGTGTGGCATATACTTGGTCAGAGTATCTCTTCATCTCTGAAATGAAGATCCTGAGGGCCAAAGTCAACTCTTGGCCTCTGGTCATCTTTAAGGGAAGTGAGAACTGGGGTCATTTCCACACAGAACCCTTGCCCACTATTTTGAGGGACAAAGCCAGTCCTCTCATTTGCAAAGATTTTAAGTCTTAAAATGCTAAATAATTTACACTTTCTTTACCTCTTAATAGGCTATGGAGGGAGGAATCATGAATGGGACCATGGGAAGAGCTCTGGGTTAGAAGTCAGAAGCCCCGAGTTCAAGTCCAGCTGCAGCCACTGACCTGTGGCTTAAGCAAATCCCTTGAACACACTTCCTGGGAGCCCCTTTCCTCCTCTTCAAAAGGAGAATATTGAGCTAGATTCTCTCTAAGGTGCATTCCAATTTTTAAGTTCTACCTATGAAAATAGTAACAGAATCATATAAGTAACCAGATGGCTCTTCACAATTTCTTGTCACGTTGGCCCTGTCCATGGTCCTGCCTGTTGGCTTGTGGTGCCCATGTCAGCTTATAGTGTCAGATGCCATGGGTTAATATCATAAAGTGAAGATTGCCTGTAGATCAGCATGTACAAATATATATTTAAAATGTGCTTAACCCTCAAGGAACTGACAAAGGATCTCATTTGCAAAACGTATTTTCTTCCCTCTGTGATTTCTATCAGACATTCTTTAAACAGGAGTCTGATCTATCTGAAATCTCTTACTCTAATGAAATTAGTCTGTGGGTTGTTTAGGTTTTGTTTTGTTTTTGTAAGGAACAGGAGTTGCAGATAAGAGATAAAATAAAATTGCACCAGATTATTGGTTTATTTTAATTGGAGTATTTTTGCTTAAAGGGATTATCTGTCATTACTGATGCAAATGGAAATCCTGTTTACAAGCCCCTTCAATGCAGCACTGTGCAGTAAAGTGGTCAGCATCAGAAGCAATCACTGTGACAAAAAATACATCAGACTGGAAACCAAAGGACAAAGCTTCTTATAGTTTATGTGAGGCCACATTGTTTTTCATTTCTTTTGCCCTGGTCAAACCAATGTCCACTCAGTTTATGTTTTTCATTGTGATGTTAAAAATGCAGTTCCCTAGACTTATCTCAATGGGGAAAGTCTTTAACCCTGATGTGAGTACATATTTCTTGTCCCTTCTGAGGGTATTTGAGAAGACAGCTGATTCCAGAATTAAGATTAGAGTCTCTGCTTCAGAATGATGAAGAAAGCAATGTGGTGTGATAGAAAGAGGGTAAATGGACCTTGGAGCCAGACAATATAGGATGTTAATCCTGGCCTGCTTTATATTGGCTCTGTTAACTCACGACACTTTCTCCATCTCCCTTGACCTTCCTCATCTGTAAAACAAAGATGACAATATCTATCCATTTAAAGCCTAATGTTGAAGTGGCACCCAACAAATATTAGTTCTCTTCTTCTTATCCACTCAAATCCCCAGCCATTTCATATTAGTTGTTAAAATCCCAGACATCCAGACTAATTAACGTTCTCTCCCTGCCACAGATTTTGCAAAGGTTTGGGGTATTTTTGAATTTTTTTTAAAGAATATATATTTCTTATTCATACAAATTAAATATATGATAATCCAAGAACTGTAAATGCTCATGTCTTTGAGAATAATATGAAACTGCAGTCCATACTATATTTTCAAAATGGCTGTAACCATTCCAGGGTTGCGATGGGACAGAAACCAAATACAGCAGCTTTTCAAACTAAAGCCACAAGAACTTGTGTTATGCATTAATGGGAAAGGGAAAAAAGCATTGAATAAACAAGCATTTCTGATGGTTGGATTGGTGGGCTTGGGATAGCATTTTTTTCTTTCTGCATTGAAATAAAAATTGCCCATTAGTTTGAACCATGCAAAATTGCTGTGCGCAGGCTCAGCTGGGCTCTCCAAAATGGAACCGCTTATTTTGATAACCAAATAAATTTCCAACAGTTGCTAAGGAAACTAAAGAATTCTTCACGCAAGTTATTGCATTGAAAAGAATCAAAAAGGTGGAGGAAGGGAAAGAACATTAGTTGATTAGGAATTTAGAACCTATACAGATAGATCTCAGTTCAGGAAAGTAAAGACTGTGATTGGGAAGTGCATGAAATTTCAGTTCTTCGAAATCTTGCTTTTGGCTGAACTATCCAATCATTTTAGCAATTCGTTAAGAAATTTCTTTTAGAGACATGATTGCATATTTGCACAGCATTGCTATAGGAAGCTTGAATCTATCTAGCTTTACAAAGCAAAATGCTACTACTAGTAAAATCTGCCTTGTGAAGCCTAGTCTTACTGTAGGGGAGCCATAATTGTGACCTAAGCTTTTTGCGGAGTTTAAGTCTCTGGGGGCACCCAGTGATGGTATAGTGTCCTTCTCATGAATGTCTTGAGACCCCGACTGTTGCCCATTAATGTTGGGACATGTTTGTAGGTTCCTAATTCATACAAATGATCTTTTTGTAAACCTAGGATGCTGGGAAGTTTTTTAATGGGCCTTGGATCTACCTGGTCTAGCTCTGATATTTAGCCTGCTGGGGCTGTTAATTCTATTGGACTCTTGCCCCTTCAAAAGGCCAGTGCATCCCCACCACCACAGAGAAAGTCTTTGTAGTGTTTTAATTAATCATTCATCAATTTGATCCCTTCAGAAGCCATATTTTAATATATAAAGAGGGATCCCAAAGTGGTTTCTTAAGCATTCTGAGTCTCCATATACAGATGTTAATGTTGTGCTTGGAACTCATCAAGTGGAAGCCAATATGACTAGTAATACTACTACCTCTACCTTTATTGCTATTTCCAGCACTAAAATCTATTATTATTTTTATCTTCTGGAGTGTAGGTAGGGATAAGAATTGGATACACAAGACTTTTTGCCTCCAATTGCCTCTAGCCTCTCCTCTCCCTTATGATTCCACCACTGGTGGATTTTGCTTTATGGTGGATGATATTTTATATCGTAGCGCCCACAGCTTGGTGCTCAGAATTAGGGACAAAGAATCTTAGAATCTTATAGCATCTAGAAAGTGTAAGGCAGTAAGGATTTTTAGCAAGCAAGAAGTAAGGAAGGAAGGCAGGCATTTCCCTTTCCCCTCAGGTAAAGGTGATGAGCAGGCTGTTAGCTTTTCCCCCTCAACAGCTCCCAGCCTGACCTTATGGTGGGATTTGGAGACCACTGGTGACCAGAGGCCCTCAAGTTCCTGATAGAGGATATGTCCTAGAGCAGAATTTTCTGTTTTTATTTCAGCATATACACACTCAAGACAATTTCTCCCTCCCATCCAGCCCACCTAGGTGAAATATTAAGTACTAGAAAAGTCCCCTTTTGTCATCTCCTCTGGGGTAAGAGCCAACTTATTTATGCCTGAGGCCTGCAGACCTCTGACTTATAAGGCTGCAAAACCTGGCTGATACAGTCACTGTCTCCTAAAAATACGCTCACTGAGGGAGAAAATGAACTGTGCAGGGTTCTCCAGCAGCATAATAAAATGGGGGAGCAGTTTTCCATTATTTATTTTCACACATGGTAATTATTTGATTCCAGACAGTTCTCAAATCCTATCAGCTCAGACTCCCACCTACTCACAAAGGAAACGAGCCCTTGGAATTAGCAGTGTTGTGTTTATTTCTTTTCAGTTTCTAGAAGGAAAAAGCTCAGAATGCATCTGCTTTTGTTTCATTTTCCCTCTTAGTTCTGCCTCCCTAGCAAAATTAAAAGCTGACGGTAGACTCTTTTCCTCATGGAATATAGGATGGCTGTGGTATTGGGAACCCAAAAATCAGATAAGAAAGAATGTAAATAATTCTCTTCCATCTCAATGCATTGTGAATTTGGGTTCTGTCTTTGAACTTTGTGAATCACAGCATGGTGGTTTGTGTATCTATATTTTTCAAGGTAAAAGTCTGGGGCACATTCCTTCCATAAAGGAATTAAAAGCAAACTCTTTCCCATGCTAATGACAAAATACTAGCGGTACTTTCATTAATAGTGCGCATTTTAACTTTTTTGTTGGCATATTTTTAATTAAAATAACATTGAACAGTTTGAAGCTAAAAACCTGATGTTTCTGCCTAGGAGTTTATAAGGGAATGATAACATATGGAGAAGCTTAACATTTAAATTGAATTTTATTATTTAAAACAGTAAAATATTTTATGACCGCAACAATGCCCTGCCAGGCTTTGCTTCAGCATCAAATGTGCTTTGTAAGGAGTCTTACGAAGCTAGGGGGAAAGAAAGACATTTTAATTTCCTATTCCCCAAATGCTTTTTAGAAGAAGTTCCAAAATGTGTTTTCTTTACAAATGAATTCTTGTTCTCTGAAGTGTCTCTTCCAACATCTCTCACATCACAAAAAACCTTTGGAACCAGGATACCCAGGAAGTCCATCGTAATGACAAATAAAATACAGCCCGTTGACTTGACGCTGGTCTTCCAATGTGCTAAGGGTGGTCTTCCTAACATCCCTAGAGTCTCTCCTGTTCCCTCTCAACTATCCAGGAGGCTGATGTCTGGCAGGAAGTTAGGGTTTGTATTTTTCACGTATGAGTGTGTTTAATTACTAAATAGAGGGAGTCTGATAAGCTGCCTTCCTTCCTTGCACTTGTAGTACCCCCAGAGACCTATCATTCTCCTGATGGGGACAGAAACGGCCAAGAGACTTTACTCATGATGCCCTGCATGAATGCTGGGCACAGGGTTGGGAGCCTCGGTGGGATTTCCAAGTATGGCATAGACTTGGTGTGTGAACCTGAGGAATTCCCTCAGCTTGACCTATTTTAGCACCAAAATGATATTTATCCTAATCCAAAGACAAAGGAACATTTTGCAGAAATAATTCCTCTTTTCAGAAGTACATTTTTCTCATTTTCCCCAGCCCATAACCCTGCCCTAAGCACAACCCCCTATCCACATATCTTAGCCTCTGAATTTGGCTTCCAGCGTATACACACATTAGTGAGCTTTTTAAATACCTTACTCCACCAAGTCATGCTTCCCACTGCTAGGGGGATCATTCTGAGCTGGAAAATTGATAACAACACTTTGTTCCCTCTATCCTTTCTGTTTTACCCATGCGCCCCTTAACACACCAAATCGCAGAGTTATTCTCATGTGACCACAAATGATTATTTTTAGGATCAAAATATATCTTAACAAGCTATGGAATTATGCAGTAAACAGATGGCCCTTGGGGAGGACCCATACTGCTTTGGAAGAATGCATATTTTTAGCAGAATAATTTGAACATCGCTGGGTGGAAAAAAAAGTTCTGGACCTTTTTACTCCTCCATGTGCGGAGGGCCGGGGTAGGGAGGAAGCTGTCAGCAGAACATTATATAGAAGGATGTGAGGCTAAGGAGAGTCCTGGGTGTTCAGATGTCCTGGTTCCTCATTTCCCATGTGAGTAACTGAGATGTCTTTGTCTTCCCTTCCCTGTGTCTTGGTAGGAAAGCCCAGTAGTTTCTTTCCAGACGACAGTTTCATAGATTCTGGAGAAATTGATGTGGGGAGACGAGCTTCCCAGAAGATTCCTCCCGGCACTTTCTGGAGATCTCAAGTGTTCATAGACCATCCTGTGCACCTGAAATTCAATGTGTCTCTGGGAAAGGCAGCCCTGGTTGGCATTTATGGCAGAAAAGGCCTTCCTCCTTCACATACACAGGTAACGAGAACCCCATATACCCTGTTGATCTGCATGGGCTCCTACTTCCAGTCTTAACCCAAAGTAAAGAAAGAAGTCCAGCCCAGAGCCTAAGCCTGAAGGGATGTTTATATATTTTACAGCCCATTTATCCATGTACCCCCTCTCAGACCCTCCTTTTCAGATGAATAAGTTTATATCACTGGGGCTTTTTAGGAGGAAGGAATTCTAGGAAATCTCTTAACAGCCTTTCTGCTATTACCCAGTTTCCTAAGTTAAATTATCCAGGAAATGTGATCTAGAGAAAAAAGCATGCATTTTAGAATCAGACAGACCTGAGTTTGAATCCTCTTGTTATCAGCATTATAACCTCGGTTTCATTACTTAGCCTCTCGGAGCAATTTCCTAATCTGTAAGATGGTGATAACAGTACCCACTTGGCGGGGCTGTTGTGAAGAATAAGAGTAACATTTGTAAGGCAGCTAGTGCAGGACCTGGCTCAGAAGAAATGTTTCTTCCCTAGTCTCTCTCATTCCTTCTCTCCTTCAGGGTTATGCATTGACTCAGACACATGCACACCAGAAACACTGAAAAAACTTGTCCAGGATGACTGACATGTTACCAGTCATGATTAATAAAGAACAGAGACTTGTGCAAGGTCCTGCCATCTCTGGAATTGGGATAACGTAAATCATAGGCATTCATCAGACATTCCCAGGTCAAATGCAGTCTTCCTAGCTGTAGTAGTTATTTAAGATTTTTAGTTAAAAGATATGTTCGCTAAGGAAGGAATCACAGGAGAAGAGCCTTGAGCTCCTGTTGACTTCATACTGGTACGCCAGTCCTGGCCTGGATCTCCAGACAGTTATTCATGAAATGGAATAAATATCTTGTTTATCTTTTAAAGCTAGCTCGCTTGCTAGATAACTACTCAATTTGCTTGTAAGTAGGCCGGTAGGACTTAACCACCTACTTGTTGTAAACCCTTTGTAACTGACTTTTCTGGAGTCTCACACAAGCAGTCTTCGATCAATTGGCAATTATATTTAACACAGCACGTAATTATTGATAGAGTTTTGAGCTAATCTAGTTTAATTCCCCTAAATTTGCTCCCTGAAATTAGAGCATTCGGAAAGAACCATTGACCAAGGGAAACTAGACATAAACCAAATTTTCATTTGCACATGGCTGACATTCCAGTCATACCCAATGCTCCAATCCCAGTCCTAGCCACCCACCTGTGCTCCCCTCCAACACCCCCCAAGATTCTCGTCATAACTTGCGCGGAGTTGAACCAATTGTAGAGTGGCTGGGTTTCTAACCACACACCCGACATTGAAAAGAAGCATGGTTGTCCTGGTATAGACTTAGCCAGGGGAAGACTCACCAGCAGTACAAAAAGAACTAAAATAAAATGAGACTAAAAAATAATCCTCTAATTATGCCTGACTCACAGGAGAACAAGGAGAACATCTGTGTGGAAAAATGGGCTCTGGAGAAGAGTTGAGTTGTTGGTCAGCCTTCCCGCAGCCTTAGCCTCTGTGCACCCTTTGTGCTTCTGTTTGTGTTTCCCAAGGTCCTCTCCAGGAGAAGCCCGAGAAAGGATGCTGGTGCTAACTGTGCTTTCTTTGTCTTTCAGTTTGACTTTGTGGAGCTGCTGGATGGCAGAAGGCTCCTAACTCAGGAGGCGCGGAGCTTGGAGGGGACCCCGCGCCAGTCTCGGGGAGCTGTGCCCCCCTCCAGCCACGAAACAGGCTTCATCCAGTATTTGGATTCAGGAATCTGGCACCTGGCTTTTTACAATGATGGAAAGGAGTCAGAGGTGGTTTCCTTTCTCACCACTGCCATTGGTAAGGGAGCCACACCCTCTGGGGGCTGTGGGATATTGTCTTTTTGGGTGGAGATTCTGGGACTGACACTGACAAGGGGATTTCAGAGCTGTAGATGCCCCTGGAGCTGGGCACGAGACCCTCCTGACTGGGCCTGCTGCCCAAGGCATTGCCGCCATTCTGAGCTGGCACCTGAGCCCAGGGCTATCGCCCACTGCTTCTCTCCCATTGTCTGGTTGGTATGTGGTGCATTTCAAGATGGGGGTGGAATTGTGAGACGGGAATCCTGGACAAGCCACACGGAGGCAACATCTCTCTTCTTGGCACTTCTCTCCCACATGTTTGTCTTTGGTTCACCTCACTGATTTGTGGTTTGGCTTTTGTTTTGGTTTTTGTTCTTTTTTTTTGTTTTGGAGCCAACAACCCCTGGCCAATGAAAAAAGGAGATACAGGCTTGAAGAGAGAGTAAGAACAGCAGTGCAAAAGGCTGGATGAACCATGCCATCAGTCAGACTGGGGTTTTGTAGAGAATAGAGATGTCCTAACCTCTAACAAAGAGTGGGCCCTGATGCACTACATGAATGCTTAACAGCGTCACTGTCCCTCGCAGTGGAAGAGGGCCTCAGTTCTCAGTTCACCCTGAGCCCCTGGGCCAGCGCAGAAGCCTGTGGGTGTCTGGGAAGCCTGGCATCCTATTTAAAGATTTTCTCTTCTTTACCGATACATTGCATAGAATGTGTCTGCTCCTTAAGCTGCCCTAGTGTACTGTAGGACACTATGGTCTTAGTGGTTCAGATCAAAAAATATTTTTTTCTGAATTTATATTAGAAGCAGTATGATATAGCCTGGAGATAAAAATTCCCTACAGGAAAATAAAAGGCATGGAAGAATATAACTCTATTAAACTGAACACCTGGGAATGGGGTTCCTGCTTAATGAACAGTTCTATGTGGTCTGGAGTTCACCTGAAAAGTCTTGGTTTCAGTCCTTGGCTAGGAGTCTCTCTGACTTAGAAGAGCAGAATTTGATAAACATCTCTGAATCCAGGCTAGGTGTGGTGGCTCATGCCTATAATCTCACCACTTTGGGAGGCAGAAGCAGGAGGATTGCTTGAGGCTGGGAGTTTGAGACCTGCCTGGGCAACATAGCAAGATTCTCATTTCTACAAAAAATAACAATCATAAAATTTTCCAGGCGTGATGGTGTGTGCCTGTGTTCCCAGCTGCTCAGGAGGCTGAGGTGGGAGGATCCCTTGAGCCCAGAAGATTGAGGTTGCAGTGAGCTATGGTCACTCTGCTGCACTCCAGTCTGGGTGATGGAATGAGATGCTGTCTCAAACAAACCCCCAAAAATCTCTGAATCTGGTACTAGGTTTCCAAAACTCTTACAAGACCCTGGTTCTTACTTTTTTTTAGACCAGGTCTTACACTGTTGCCTGGGCTGGAGTGCAGTGACTCAACCACAACTCGCTATAGCCTTGAACTCCTGGGCTCAGGTGATCCTCCCACCTTGGCCTCCCGAATAGTGGGACCACAGCCACATACCACCATGCCCAGCTAATTTTTGTATGTTTTGTAAACTGGTCTCAAACTCCTGGGCTAAAGTGATCCACCCACTTTGGCTTCCCAAAATGCTGGGATTATGGGCATGAGCCACCATGCTGAGCCCCTGGTTCTTACTTCTAAACAGCAGGATTCATTTTCAGGCCATTTCCCTCTTACTTGAAATTTTGCCCTTTGTGTTGAGACAGAAAGCATTTTCCCATTAAATACAGGGTGTGGCTAAAAAGCTTCTGCTGTAAGTACAGGCTCAATATTTCACCCTCTTGGCAAATGAAGGCGGTGGAGGCGATCAGACAACTAGCTCTGATGTAGAAATTATCACTTCGTACAGTCCTTGTTTTGGAGATGGCTGTCTGAGCTGCTGGACTTGGAATGCCTAGAGGGCAGGGCCTTTGATAGGATCTTGTCTGTGCTTCCTGGCACCCAGCCCAGCGGGGTGCGGTGTCACGCAGTGAACGAGGGAACAAGCTCCCCTCGCGGGATTGGCGGCAGCGATTGTCAGACAGTTGCGGTGCTGTTGGTTTCCTCCCTGGATACCTTCTTGTGAACTGTGGCAGGGATTGTGCTCTATTTTGAGTCTCCAGCACAAACTTGGGTTTTGACCTTGCACAAATCATTTGAGGTTTCCAGCTCTTAGCTTTTCAGGATTCTGGTATTTGAGGCTGCAGCTCAGAGTCACTGGTGACATTAAGGCTAACAGTATAGCCCGTTCCCTGTCATCAGAGGCCCCAGTCTGGCCCTCATCCTGTTAGGCTGTCACTTGGCAGCGTTTGGGAGGCTACAGGCCCTGTTTCTTTTTTCTCTCCGGATAGGATGGCGACAGGTTAGGGACGTGATCATCAACTCACGGTGGTGCCTGAGTTACAGCTTCATGATCTCATGGCCTGATTTCTCTTAAGCATGGTTTACAAAGAACCATGCATAGTGCTTGTCCAAAACTAAGTGCTTTTATAATCAGAATTTCTTATTTTTAATAACTGAGCATAAATATGAAATGATATTAATACAAACCCCAGAAGAAACCTACTTCTAATTAGGATACACATCTTAGACGAATAAACCATAGGCACAGTGAGGCATCTTTGCCAACCCTTGGCTTGTCAGAGCTTGCTAACTGTCTTGTCATAATTAGGGAGATGGTCTTGCTTTTCCCTCTGGTTCTGCCATTCTCACCTAAATGTGGAAACCTGTCTTCACTTCCTCTTAACCCTGTAGTATATTTTAGAGCAGATAGGTCAGGCCATACTGTGTTTCTCAGACTTGAATGAACCACCTGAGGGTCTTGTGCTTTAGCAGGTCTGGGTGGGGGACCTTAGATTCTGCATTTCCAACCATCACCCAGTGATACTGATGCGCTGTGGGCCACATTCTGAGTGGCAAGGGGTTAGATATAGTACTTTATGGATGGTTCTCAAACAGTGTTGAATAGAAGAATCACCTGGGAAATTAGAGGAAAATGCACATTCCTGGGCCTTTTCTCCAGAAATTATGACTCAGTAAGCCTGCAGTAAAGCCCAGGGAATTCTGACTCCAGGGTTCGGTCAAGGAAGCTTTAAAGATAGATGCCTTCTAAGAATTACTTTCCATTCCTTCCTTCGCCAGTGTCCCATGTTAGCTCTGTGACCAGAGACAGTCATGCCACCTCTCTGAGCCTCATTTTTCTTGTCTGGAAAATGGAACAATAGTACTTTGCAATCTAAACAGAGAAATAGAAAGTGCTTAGCACAGGCTCTGGGCTACCATAAGCACTCAGTAAATGGAAGCTGTTTTAATATTCTCTCCCATCCTCTTTCTCCTTCTACCTTTCTCTTGCTGCCTTTCTGGCCTGTCTTTCTCCCTTCAAGCTACAGTGATGGTTTAATGAGTACTGCTTTTTTCTCTAATACAGAAACAGACTGATTCTGATGTTACTCTTAATCCCTCTTTCCCCAAGAGTCCCTGGCATTGAGTCTTAGCTGTCTGTGATCATTACCTGTGAGCTCTGAGTTGTAATTTGTCTTGGCAGGTTAATTAAAAGTTTAGGTCTTGTTTTAGTGAAGTCTTTATGGTCCCAATATATAATTGTAACTCTTGGGTTTGCTTAACACATAACTTGGAATCTGACCCTTCCTTCATTACATGTTGAAATCCAGATCTAGAATTTAAGAAGATCTGAGATGTCAGAATCCAGAGTATTTGTGTCTGTTTATAATTAAGTAACAGGAGAAATAATTGTGTTTAATTTAAGAAATGGCTGTATTGTGTATGTTTTTGCTTTTCCCTCCATTTAATGCAATCCAGCTGATGACTTTAAATGAAATGAGTTTATCTTTTGCTTTTAAAAAAAAAAATCTAAAAGCACTTTACAAACTGTATACACAAATACATACACACAGAGACCTGATACTGACAGAGCTCCCAGTGAACTAGATGAATTTACACACACACATATGCATACGCGCGCATACACACACACACACACACACACACACACACACACAGTGAGAGAGGGAGAGAGAGAGAGCGAGAGAGAGTGCACACTGAAACCAAGCAAGTTTTAGAATAAAACATGGAAGCTTTTTTCAGAAACAACGGCTTTCCCTGCAGATTAAGAACCACAAATCGAGCGTACTGACTCTGGTCCTGGCTGGGCTGGGGTGGGTTGCCTTGCTGTTCCAGATGTTGAATGAAGGAGGAGAATGTGTATCACTGGCTGAACTATAATTCACTCATTGCAGTTTGCAAAGGGCTTTCATATACATCCTTTGTGGCTTGCAGTAATTCCATGAGATGATTATTCTGATTTTTCTTATCACCTCCCTATTGCAGATGAGTAAATTAAGGTTCAGGGATGTTAAAAGTTAAAACATGAATTTGCATCTGTCTGATTCCAAATCCCTCTGTCTGTCTGATTCTCCTCCTTTGGCAATTTGCCTTCTTCCCAGGATCAAACCCCCATTTTTGGTATCACTTACTTCTGTTTTCCATCTATTCATTAATTCATTCAGCAGATATTTAGAGAACACCTATTGTGTGTTGAGGACCATGCTTATCTCTCTCTTTTTTGTTATTTAATCCTCACAAGAAGTTTAGACAATAGATATGTTGATCTCAACTTTACAGATGTAAAAATCAAGGCTCAGAAAGGTTGTTGACTAGCCCGAAGTTAATGTCAAAGCTAGGATGAAACTTAGTCTCCATATCCCACACTGTCCCCCAATACCACAGTCTCTCCGTATTTGTCATGGTTACTATTAAATATTTTTTTCATTTGTGTTATAAGGAATATAATTTTCCCCTTGTTAACTTGCCTTCAATTATTAATAACCATATCACATGAACCCAGGAAGTTTTCTTGAGAAGTGATTAAGAAGGCCATGAGGAAAATGTCACATCTAAAACTTTAAAAATAAAAATGCCTTTGTATGCATTGCTTGCAACTCAAGACCTAACAAGTTCGTATTGCCCTGTTTTCATTCT